TTAATGGCACCATCTTGTTTCACATCTAGAATTGCATTCTTAAAAGGAAGACTAGCAGACTGAGCTCCAAGATCAAATAATGATGCCATCACCTGGTAAGCAGTGTGAACCTCTACTGATTATTTATCTCAACACTCAATTGCACCTTCGTTATAGTAAGATTATTATGAGTGCTGAAATGACATATGCAAAGTGCTTAATACACAGTAACTTCCAGGAAGTCATCATATAGTATTTCTTTTCATTTAGCCTTCCATTGCAGCCACATTCTGAAGATCTGGTGTGTTTATACCCTGGTAATGACTTAGGCCCCTAAGGATTATAGAGGGAAGAAGAAGGAGTTTTATACAAGTTGTTAAGTCAATCCACACCTCTTGCTTATGGGGAGACCTTACTGAAAAGGTTCTCAATCTTGACTACTCATCAGAAATCCCCAGGGAGCTTTAGAAAAGTCCTGATATTCAGGCTGCATCCCAGAGCAATTGCAATGTAATAAATCCAGGCATTACTATTGCTAAAGGCACCACAGCCCAAGGGATACTAATGTGCTATCTTGAAGGAAAAGCACCAAGTTGTGGTCACTGTCCTGGTTAAGTGGTGGCTTCACTGCATCTACTGACAATACAAGTCTCTGTTTTTAAAAATGAATTTTTATTAGAGTGCAAGAGATATGAAAACATTACAGATCCTGTGCATAAATTTCAGTGAAGTATCATAAGGAAAGCATACGTGTACAACTACTACACAGAAAAAGGAAAAGAATGTTACCAGCGGCCTGCATATGCCTCATCCAACTTACAACACACCTCTTGTCCCGAGGTATTCATGAAACTGACTTGTGACAGGATGAACTAGTTTCAAATCTAAATGATATTATAGTATCATAGTAACCAATCTATGAAGTATGTATTTTTGTGCATGCATTTGGCTTTTATTCAAAATACTGGTCAGAATCCTTCCGTCAGCCATTTTCACTGTTGTATATATTTTTATTCAATAATTGCTTCAGTGTGGATTGGGAATGTTCCTCAAAGGCACGGGTATTAAAGGCCTGTTTTCCAGCATGTTGAGCTCTTAGAAAATGGTGGAACACTTAAGAGTTGGGGCCAGTGGGAGTAAGTTAGGTCATCACGGTATGTTTTTCAAGGGAATATTGCTTTGCTTCTCTTCTCTTCTCTTCTCTTCTCTTCTCTTCTCTTCTCTTCTCTTCTCTTCTCTTCTCTTCTCTTCTCTTCTCTTCTCTTC